CCTGCCCGGGGGCCGAGGCACCGCGCTCCTCCGCAGCGCTGGGGACGCCGCTCCTCGGCACCGGGCTGCGAGCCGCGTAAGGGCTTGGGTTTTGGCGGTTTTCTGACAAAGAACGGGCTCGCACAACAGGAAAATGCGGAAACGCTCCCAGTTCTTCTCCCGACAGCTGCGTTTTTACACGTGCCAGCTGCAAAAAAAATATTCTAGGCTTATGGTTTGTTGTCAGCATTTCCACATAAGAAACTTTAGTGAGGGGAGGGTGGAGGATTTTAGAAGAAATTAAGCAAACAAACAAACAAAAACAACCAGGAGGAAGGAAGTTGCACACAGAATTCTGTGAGGAAACTTTGCGTGCTGTGAGCGACCAGGCTTTGGGAGGGATTTTGTGTTACACAGGAGGGCAGACTGCAGGCCCTTGTCCCATTACCTTCAGAAACTGGAGACGAAGGACTAAGACAAGGATCACAAAAACACTTCTAAGGCATTCTCTGTATAGGTAGTTACTTCATGTACAGCAGGGCCTAGAGTTCTTCAGAAGGCCTTGCCCATGTATAGGGCAAGGTTTAGGATTTATATTAGGATTATATAAATTATATAGGATTTTATATTAGGATTATAAGGATTACATTTACTTTGCCCAGAGGATGACAAATAAAGAACATCTACTTGCTGTATGTGTAATTATGTAGCTTTGTATTACTGATTAGGTGATCAAATTAGTCATCAAATTTGTTTCTGCAGTGGTGTTGAACTGAAGTTTGTGTTTGAATTTTGACCAAAATATTTCTCTAACAAGCTGGCTAGCTATAAATATTTATTAGCATCTTGAAACTTCTATATATTTGATTTTTTTTTGGACAATTTTTTTTTAATTACATTGCTGCTAAAAAACCCAGTACCACATACTGCCTTAGCTATATACATTATCTCTAGCAAATGTGTGACTGTTTGATATGAATCAGTGATCTCATTCCCTTATGAGAACAGTGCTAGAAATATAGTCTTGTATACTGCATGGCAGCACGCTTCTACCATACAGCTCTCTTGATTATGTCAGCTACATCTTAGAACAACCGTATGTAACATTTAGTTATATGCCAAACTGCTGTTCCTCACTCCACAGCTTTTTCTTCTCCCAATGCTCTGTCTGCCATAGGCTAAATGCAAGTGGGATATGACAAAAGTCTTTACACAGACGTCACTGAAGATCAGCACTGTTTCCATATTTAGGACTTCCTCAACCCCTAGAGCCACTCCTCAAAAGACCTCATTGCTGTAATGCCACCAGCTGTCTTGCTTGGTATCAAGAAAATGGTTTTTCTCACAATTCTGCTGTTTTCCTACCGTAAGCCAAGGACATACTTCTTGCATGTTACAAATCTTTCTAAAGAAGAACCATTGTTTCTTGTCTGAAAGCTTTCTTTTCTTCTCTTAGTTCAAATGTCTCAGCAGATTCAGAAAACTACTGCAAATAGCAAAGGTAGGTTCTCTTTTTCTTTTTGAGGTATGTGCTGAAATTGACTGTTAACAAAAAAATGGGGGAGATATTTAAAAATGTCCAAAACCTTCATGTAAAATTAAATCTTTTGCCCCTGTCTGTGCAGTGAGGCAGTTTACAAGTTCCTATACAAAGTTAACTCTCTCTTTGCTGACTTGTATGTACAGTCAAAATCGCTTTGTTAAAACATATTTTTCCCCTCTAGAAGTATCATAATTTATCTGTCATGACTAGTTTATTACCATTTTCTATTGAAAGACATTACAAGTTTTTATCACAAATTTATTTGTGATCTCATACAAGCAAACTAATTTGATAGAATGTCAAGGCTCCTGCTGCTACTATTAAAAATGTCAACCTACTTACACAAGGTTAATTCTGCCTGTTTACATATGACCACAAATATAATACTGCTTTTACTTTAAGGTTCCCATGCTTCCTCTCAACTAGCATGTAAGGTTACTTTCTCCTACAATTAACACCCCATAATATTTATCTTTATCTTTTATACGTATATTATTTTCATCGCTGCTGTAGTTGCTGCTGTTGTTGGTTCATCTGGATAGATCTGTTGCCTTTGTGTGTATATGCTCTCTTTTGTATGAAGACATGCATTTTTCGTCAAGTGTTTGAAGCTCCATACTGATTTTGAAAAATACAAAGTTGTGTTGCCTGCTACCCCCTCTTTCAACAGAAATAAGTATAGCCTGGTCCTCGACATATTTTGGGAAAAAATCTGAGAGTTTCTTGGGTGATAGGTGCAGTGAACTCACCCAGAAGTTTCTTCTTTCCAGAGATGCTGTCCAATCCCAGCCTCACAGCTGTTCAGGGGACTTTGAACGTGGTGATGAACCAGAACGTGACCCTCTCCTGCAGCTCAGACTCCGGATCCCCACCTGTCAGATACACATTGTTTAAGTGCAATCAGAAGGTATCCAGTTTGCATAGGCCAGACTTGACCCCCGGTTTATTTAACTTGACTATTAAATCTGCCGGTGACGTGGGTGAATACAAATGCAAAGCTGAGAATAACATCTCCCGCAGTGGGAAATACAGCAAGAGTCTCAACTTCACCCTTATAGGTATGTCTTGCTGCATACCTTCTCCGCACGTTTTATTTTAGGGGCACGCAGCCATGTCTGATGCAAGGTATCTGCAGCAGCAGGAGTCAGGGGTTTGGCAGCAGCAGGTACTGGTTTGGACTGCAGCGTTCACCTGCCTTGATTGCGGAGCTGAACTTTACTGCAAATGGCTGTTATTTTCTTACGAGTCAGCAGTGCTATTCTGATCTGGCTCACTGAGCCCTCTGTCCTTGATGCCCATCTCATTTGCCAATGCTTAACTCTGAGCCTTGCTTTGGAGCTTGTCATGTACTCAGTGATACAGTCTCTTCAGTTTTCTTTTTACAGAGCCAATTTCCAAACCAGTGCTGAGCTCACCCACCTCTCAAGCAAAGAAAGGCCAGAACGTTACCCTGTCTTGTCTCTCAGAGAACGGCTCTCTTCCTATCACATACATATTCTTCAAAGGAAGACAAACGATCTCTCAGCCAGTGAAGATGCAGAAGAGCAAAGCAGCTGTGATTTTTCTATTTATCAATTCCTCTAGTGACTTTGGAACCTATAAATGCAGAGCTGAAAATAGCTGTTGTAATAATACAAAATACAGCAACAGTTTCAACTTTACATTAGCAGGTATGTGTGCGTGAAACTGTTCACCGCTGTTGATAAACAGGGACCACACAAAATTCAGGATGTTGTAACAATGCGAGTTTAGCCAGAAATTTTGTGCCTGCAATGTAATGTTCAAAATACAATTTTTTTACAATGAAAAATTAATTTTATTTTTTTAAAAATTAATGCAAAAAGATAGAGATTCCATGCAGCCTAGATAGTAGTAGAAGTTGAAGTGACCATGAAGGTTGACTGTAAAAGATTCACTTTTACAAGAGAGCCCTGGTCCAGCTTGCTCCACCTTGGGGAGAGTCCAGTTTATTTTTTCTCTCTGGTCCTACAGAAGAGAGAGTCTACTGGCAACAGCAAGCTCCCTTCCTTCTGCTGTGGCAGTGTGCACTTGGGACTCTGCTGAGTTGTTACGTTAACCACAGTTAATCCAAAAGCTGAAAGAAATGCAAAGCCTTGATTTTAATTTACAGAAAATACTTAGAATATGAAACAACATTTCATTGCATAAACACTTTTTTTTTTTTCTTTTTGGCAGAAGAGAGAAGCCATTCTCAACCTTTGATCATTTCTCTTGGGCTGATCTTGCTACTATTCATAATAGGATTTGCTCTGGCAATTCCATTTTTCATAATTCCTTCATATAAAGCAAGTGAGTTATTTGAACATCTGTTTCATTTACCAGAGATGCTAATTTACGTTGTCAATACATTTTAGTGTGTAAACATCATGTTACAAGTAGAGTTATGCTCCTGGTATTTTAGGATGTTGTCAAGTCCTTTAACCAGCATAGGCAACTTAACAAGGCATTGACAAGGCAAGATCTCTGAGCTATGTTTTAGATGGCAGCTCTGGGATGGGGGAAGCAAAAAAATTCTAAATTTAATACACAAAAATGTTGGAAGGAATTGGACCTCATTGTTCTTAGTAAAGAAAGGCAAGTCTATTAAAAATGCCCTTGGTTAAGGAGTATCTTTTATCATGAAAATAAGAAAAAGTGATATACGTATATAGGCATGTATTTGTTTTTCTTTTACGATTTGCAGAAAAAATTAAGTCTACTAGGTCCTCAACTGGCCTTACTTCAACAATAAATGAAGAGGCTGAAAACGACGTCTTGTACACAGAGATTGGTAAGTTCACCTTACTCCCCATGCAGTCATGGAACTTACTGGTGGGAGTTTGGTTGAAGAACGCCGTTATACTAGTTGCAGCTAGTATGGGCAAATTCCTTCAGGTACTGCAAAAGCAGCAGGCAAAAGTGGGTTATATGCAAGCTGTAGCAAAACAAAACTTACGTAGCTCCTGCATTCTGTTCAAAATTGTTCAGTACGCAATAGCTCTTTATTCCATGTTTCTTAACTTTGACAAGACTCAAAGTCAGTTCAAACTGAAACGATGAAGTAATGCTAGACAACAAAGCAACTGACCTATGGTAAGGCATTGTACTACTTCAGTTGCAGAAAATACACAGTAGTGAAGACATTACATGAAAGCCACGATGCTCTTATCTTGCAGTTTTCTGCCTTTGCCTTATACATGAATGTCAGTATTGTCACGGGAAAAAGAAACCCCCAAAACAAACGAACAGCGAAAGGTATTATGTTTCCTGTTTCTAAATATCAAAAATGGAATCATTCTCTCCAAACGCATCTGCTTCCTGTTCATACAGTGGACAGAATTCTAGCTGCTCTGCTGTGTTAGCTCCGTGCTCTGTGCAGCTGCTCATGCCAGATAGCAATCAGCATTCTACCCACAAAGCCTGCAAGGACAGTGACCATAGCTCCAATAAGGCCCATGAACGCTACAGAAAGCATGGTAGATTTATATTCAACATGGAATCTCGCTGCTTTGTTTCAAGATTATTAAAAAAAAAAAAAAAAAAAAATCTGCTCAGTCTCTTGTAATTGAGTTAACTGCTGTTCATCATCTTTAATCCAGAGCTTGTTAAACCAGAAGAAGAATACGTCAACTTTTCTGTCTTTTCTGTAACTGGAAGAGAAGATGAAAAAGGTGAACACCTCAAGCTATAATATTGGAACATCTGATGTGCACAAATACGTTTATTGAGGATTTTGCTGGGGGGAGGCAGGGTTTAGATAGTAGCAGTTACATACTGAAATTGCTTACTTAGTATGAAGAAATAAAAATAACTTTAAGACTCTTTTGAGGGGGAAAAAAGCAAACAAAAACCCCCAAACAAAAAGCCTATCACCACCCTGTGACCCAAAAATTACAACAGTCTCATTATGAAACCATGCAGGAGATGTTATTAGTGACCAAGTTGCTATGAAATACTAATTTTTCTGTTGTGTATCTGTACCAAAAAAAGCAATTATGAATTATGTTTTTCTGGCTTTTAGCAGAGAAGAGTGCATGTGCTACAGTCTATTCAAAGGTCCACATCAGAGATTGAGTATAAGGTAAGATCTCTCTTGTGATTAACTTAACCATGTATTTTTAAAGAATCTTTCAGTCCTCAGACGTCATAAGTACCGCCAAGTCTGCACAGAAAGAGATGATCTTTAGATACTAGTTTCCTGGCCTAATTATTTTGTGGACAGGCACTATAACTTGTTCTCTACTAGCAAGCAAAATCCCCAAGTCATAATCTCTAGGGACTTCAACTTAAAGGAAGCAGCAGAACGGATAAAAATTGGAACTAACAAAGACCCAAACAGCAATCCCATTAGACAAACAGCAGCTTTTTACCCGAACAGCACCATAAAAAACCCAAACCAAACCAATGCCATCACTGTCAGGTAAGATCCTGCTGGACACAATTATAGTCCGGCATTACATGCATCTGATGAATAAACAGAAAGGAATAAATGATGTAAAGCTTTCACCCAGGCCCAAGTTCCTGTACACTTAACAATTCTCCTGAAATAGAAACTGGATTGTATGCAAACGTAAGATAACCAAAAGGCTTTAGTCAAGTTAAAAAAAAAAAAACAAAACAAAAAACCCAAAAAACCCCAACAAACCAAACAAACAACTGTGTTGTCCTCTTAGGCACACACTACAGGATCCGTATTTGGCCTTTGTACCTGCTGCTACCTAGCAGCAAGGATGGCCATTTCTCAGTTCAGCATTACTTCAGCTCTCAGAGTAGGGACACGATGCTAGAAATCAACTTTTGGGACAGTTAACTCCAACACAAATTCTGCATCCTGCTATAGGCCATTTCTCACATGTTTCTGGGTTGTTCTAATGTCATTCCATAGCCAGCTTACGTAGAATTCCATGAGTTCAGTAAGTCACACAGCGACACTATGCTAACCTTGCATTATATCTAGCATAATTACGCTACACAGAAATTAATATTATTGTTACAAACAACCCATTTATAGTTAAATAAGCACCATGTTAATAGAAGAAATTTTGAAGGCAAGTTCTTGTGTTTCATGACATTGATGACTATCAGTGGCTGCATGCATCGTTGCATCACCTTAAAGCACTTTATACAGTGACTTAAGTTGTACGTGCATAGAAAATCTACAGATCAGAATCACTCAATTTTGTATCTATGCAAACTCTTGTACCCAAATTTGACTACAATGCTTAGGTACACGATAAATATGATCATACATTAGTCATCTTCCACCATTTTCTATGTACAGATATTTTTTTGTCCACAAAAATGCTGGTCAAAAACTGTTTACAATTTGTTTCATCTACTTTCTCCATTACTCTTGATAATGTATTTCTGATTTTCATGTGTATCAAGTGTAAGATGAAGTAGCTTAAATGTTGAAGAACTGAGGCCATGTGATTAAAATACATTCCTACAAACAGATAGTACAAAGATACTCACTGATGTTATTAAAGATTTGGATAGTCTTATATAAAATACCATTTTCCACCAGAGACCGTAACTGTGTCAGCAATACACAGATGAGAGACGGATTTTTAGGTTAGAATGGAGTATTTTCAATAAGATAGTAAAACTGAAGACGTGAAAGAGAATATAGTTAGCCCTGCTAACGAGGGACAAGTTTGTCTCTTCTCTCTTTTCAAGATAACCTGGAAGACCTAGGTGGTCTAGATTTGACAGAAAACAGACGCACCACCAAGTTTTAGCAGAACTATTTGCAGAGAAGACACCCGAGTCCATGACACCGTAGAAGCCAGTTCAGGCACAGATGTTTAAGAAATGCCTTTTATTCAACAAACTGAAGTTTACACATTTTTGGCTGATGTTACATACTTAGTAAAAAAGTCCTTCAGCCTAGAAATGTGCATCATTTCCTTCATGGTGGTGTCTCTGCTTCTCAGCTGGACCACTCCATTCTCTAGAGTGGCATCAGTTATCAAGACCGTGAAGAGAACGCTCATCTCATCGTACCTGCAAAGAAAAGAGTGCACCTGTTACCACTTTTGGTGCACAAAAAATTCAGATAAGTTATGTACACATGACCATAACTGTAAATATTTTTGCTATACTGCACCAAGTCCAGCATGAAGACGCCAGTTTTCTTGTTGCTGTTCCTTGCTTTCCTGATTACATTTCTTTATTTAGTTACTTTAGTACATAAAAAGAATGTTATTTGGTGACCGATTATAAGAGTATTTTTGTAGAAGCAGAATATATGTTTCTTCTGTTCTTTAATAGCCAGACTAACTTTGAAGACTACTGCACAGAACAGTCGTATTTATTCTCTCTCGGGAAAAAGTATTCATCAATATGCTCAAGATCCATTGACATGACCAGCGATACACTCAAAATTCACTCCTGATCAACAAATCGTATATGAAGCCCTCAACTGGGATAGTAGTTTTTATCTGCACAAATAATTCCGTCATGAGCGCTAACAGTAATGGTTCCAGACTTGGAAGAACTTTTAAGTTCAAGACTAGACACGGTGTGCTGTTTGAAACAGTACTTAAGAATGAAACACAGAACCAGTCCAGATGCAAAAATAGGGGTGAGGGCGGGAAACAGTTCTGCAAGCTTATGACTCATCTTAAGAAATTTATTTTCAATAGGAGAGTCTCTAAAAGGCATTTCACAGTTCCAGAGAAACAACAATAACACATGAAAGGCTTATACTTCACTTAATTTTAAAAATGAACTATCTGATATTGCTCTTTGTAATAAAACTAATTGAATCCAAGTTTATAGTTCGGGATACATGCCTTCAGCCACGTGGTTACTGCACTCGGTGACTTCTTACTGAAAACAGGCATATTTCATATTTTCGCTAGTCCACAGAAAGTCATCTTTCACCTTCATAGTTTAATTTACAAAAGACTGTTTCTCCTTACTTTGCATAAAGCTGTTCCAGAGATACCTGCACGGTTTCAAGATAACCCGGCCATACAGAAATTCTATTTTCTGACAGTTCATTGAACAATCCTTGACAAACCTGTGTTTATTTAAAAACAAAAGTTAAAAGACAGACTTTGAGGCTTTGAAATCCTATACAAACAAACCATTAAAACTCTAGTATGTGTGGTATCAGCATTCCTAGCTGGTGTTAATTTTCTGGCTGAAATAATCTCAAAGTAGAAAGCAGCCTGGCAATTAAATCTCCATTTCTATTTAAAAACATGCCAGTGTAAGTTTCCTCCCTCCTGTGGGGACTGGCTTAATAACTGACTTAAATAAAAACTTTTTAAAAATCCTTCTGAAGACGTGACCCATGCGTTAAAATAATTCTGAAAGATTAAGAAGCTAAGAAGGACTGTCTTATTTATTTTCCTTAATTTTGCATGGAACAAGTATCAACTCTGTTAGTAGTACCAGAAACAGTGTGTTAATGCAAGGAAGGCGCCTACTACCGACTGTCTGCAGTGTACTCCTTCAGCTGTGACTAACAAGCTGCATAGCAGAAGCAGTGTGAAATCTGTACAACCACGAATTTCCAAGAATCAAAGCAGCAGCACGAATTTCCCTAACGTAAACAGTGCCTGAATTGTAACAGAATATTACATGGAAAGGCAATGCTCAAAATTAAAATACTTCCTTACAACGCACCTGTCTCAGCTCTGTTGTTGGACCTTTTCCTACGTCCAAGGCCACTTTAAGAGGTGCTAAACAAGGATGAAGCTTAAGTACCTAATAATTTTACAAAAAGCAACACATTACTAAGTGTATTTAGTGTGAAATTCTAAACACACCTAGGAAACGTTAAATTTTTTTTCACTGAAATTAAGGTTCTAAACATGCAAAATTTTCTCGTAACACAAAATCCTGAATTAGAAGCAAGCTTTATTTCATGTAACTAGCACACATGCCAGCTAGGTTAGCATGGCGGAAATTATTCCCTTTTGGCTGAGCCCTGGAAGAGAGATGAATTTTTGTTAGCAGAGCTCCATCACCTTTGATGGAGCCAGAGTGATCAGGGACAGCCCAGCAGCCAGCCACCATCCAGTCTACTGCCCGTTCTTCAAGACCAAACGGCTGCTTGATTAACAAGTGCCGTCTGAAAGCTAGCACTCTAACTCCAGAAAACGAGGGTGAAAGTGGGAATAATGACGGTCTTTGGGGAAATGCCCCACTACCGCCTACAACCAGCAACCTTCCTACAACCAGCAGCCTTCCAGAAGAGACAAACTCCTCCTTCCCACACACAGCAGCCACATTCCAATTCCCCTTAACTCCTTCATCAGTTGCATGGCAAGAGCCTACCTTCTCATCAGAGAGAAGGTACGACAGAAAAGGGGACCGCAGGAGGAGAGAAAAATTGCTTATGTGGGTGAAAAGGACCACAGAGGCAGTCCCATGGGGCCAGCCTATGGCTGCCAGTGAAAAGTGTTCTGTTGGGGAAGGGAATAGAGGGTTTTGTACTTAGACCTGCCCCTGCCTTCCATCATCCATTCTTCCTTACACTTTCTACACAAAGTTACCTTTCTCTGTGAATTTTTCTTTTTTGTTAATGGATTCTCAGCTAGCTGTAGAGAATCAAAGAGATACGCTAACGCTCCTCGGTCCAGATTTCCACTCACAGACAGAACATGAGGAATAACATTCTTCCTTCCATCTCGGCCCTGAAGAGGAAAAAAAAGCCACAAAGGGATACCTCAAATAATGTCTCAAAGGGCCTTTTGTTTACTTTAAATGTATAACAAGGCATTGAGGCTCAAGCACCCTTACCCTTATTACATTTTAAAATATATGTCTGATTGTATTTTAAGTTACCACCAAGCGTAACAGTAACTAGATAAGATCATAACACTGGGGAAAGCAGAAGCTCAGAGCAGGATGGGATTCTTTTCTTGTCCTGCCTCTCTAATCGTAAATTTAAATCTATGGCCAATACACTTGAAATTCTGCATTTTCTTTTGGAGGTTTGTAGATTACTCCCAAGTGGCCACAAGGATCTGTCCCCACATTCTAAGAAACCACTATGTAACCCAGTTTTGTAGGTTATGTTACAGTCTTCTGCCTTCTGTACAGAAATAAGCTGCAAAACCAGGAAAAACAGACAGGACTGTCATGAGGAGAAGGTTGCAATTTGCTGGTAAAATACCAAGTTGCTCTAGTTTTAAGTGTTCAGCCTGACTTTCCAAACATTGCCATTCACTAGAAGTTTGTCCCTCTCCAATATATTCAACAGAAAGGTTCCCCTCTGGTCCATTCCCCCTTCTGAGCGTGGTAACCTCTATAAAGCCATCTGCAGTGTTTATAACCCATTAAACCCACATATACTTCTACATATATGGAATTGGACAAGCTACGGAAAGAAAAAACATTTACAGGTTCTTTTTGATGCGAACTTAACACCGCAAAACACAGACTGAGTTTGTCTTGACATCTGCTCACAGATAAAGGTAAAGGCTATGCAACTAACAACAGCTGTCTTGTCAATATAGCTAATTTCTAATTTCAAAGAATTAACTCCTTGCAAAAATAAAAAAATACAGTATTTCATTTGCTTTTGGAAATGAAGGTCTGACTGCAGAGTATCAATTGTACTGCTTTCACAACAAAAGAATAAAAAAATAGTCACACGCTAAGCAACTGGACCAGCAAAGAAACCACTTCTCTCACACGTTATCAATGTCATCAAAAAAGGTTTTTAATATAGTAAAGCTTACAAGTAATTTCGAATTATCCCCTGGATACATCTGTAACAGTTCAGTATCACCAAGGTTCTTCAACGTTTCTATTGTTTCTGTCCCCCAAGGAAAGCTGTAATGTAAATTAAATCCTCTTCTTCCTTCTTCATCCTGAAAGTCACTGCTGCTGAAGTTAGACGGGCCTACTGCAAACTGAAAATTAAAGATGTAAGAGGTAATCACTACTGTGCATGCTGTATTAACTACAAAAAACAAGTCTGCAATGCAAGCTAAGTCTATGATTTTCAGCAAGATATTTTAATGAGTTTTTTTATGAATTACAGCCCTTGTTTTACAGCATTTTGATCTCAAATCCATTACAAACACAAACCATTTGCCTTTCTGCAAGTCACACTGGAAACTACCTAACTACTTGTCATAACCTTACGTAGTTCTTTGGTTTCTCACAAGAAATACATGTATTTTGGTGACAAGAACAGGCAAGCAATGTAACGCCGTAAAACCGATGAGGGTGTCTATTCCCCCCCTCTCTTTGGGATATAAAGGAGCAGGCCAAGAATTGCCCTGGGTGTGCTGCCGTTACCTTTCTCCACCATTGGAGTCTCTGGCGTAACCAGTAATCGAGCCACTGTCCCGCAGTTCTGGGAGAGCTAAACCATGCAAGCAAAGACGTGGTCCTTTCGCCTATTCTTTAAACAATAGCAAGGTCAGCAAGTTAACTCCTTCAAAAATAACAGGGAAAAAGCAAGAGACAGTATTCAAAAATAATCCAACAGTAAGACAAGTGCAAACAGTTGGTTTAAGTATGAAAAGGGATTAATCCCTCTATTACTCTACCTGCTAAGGTTTTCGTCGTGTTGCTCGCTTTCAGGAATAGAGTGAAAGCACACTCCAATTTGAGCAAGGCCACAAGGCAGTCTTTTGTTCACCAATTCTAAGCAGCTAACATATTGCGCCAAAGCACCTGTCAAAAGACAAATCGCTAGTTTTAGAAGCCACGGGGAAAAATTTAAAATTTTTAATTCTACTGACAGTGAATGCAGCACATATGATACACATGCTGCTTGTACATGCAGTCCCACTAGCATTAACGTTTTGCAGAAATTAGCTCCGTAGCCTTGTAGCCCGATTCCTTCGAGTACTTTGGCAACTGCGATTTTAATGTGCCTTTCCCCCAGTTACAAGGGAAAGCATCCAATGCGCACTTTGCCGTGGATGCTGCTCAGGCCCTTGAAAAGGACACAAACTCACAGAGCACAGAGGAAGCTTTCATCGAGTTGTTTAGGTTGAAAGAGACATTTAAGATCACCTAGTCCAACCATTAACCTAGCACTACCAAGTCCACCACTAAGCCAATTAAGGGCAGAGTAATAATTTCACGTTTCCTGGCTTTGCCAGCGCTTGAAGGCAACTGGAAGATTCCCTTTGACGCAGCTGCTTCGCTCCCAGCAACAAAAACGCCGAGCAGGCGCCCAGGGACCCGCCTCACCCCCGCGGGGACGGGCGAGGCACCTACCGGG